AAGATTTTTTTTGTAAAAGCAGCTATTGAGGTCAAAATAAGTGTGGTGTGTGTGTGGTCTGCATCTAAAGCATTTCATTGTCCGATAATCAGGAAGTGTGTCTTAGCATGCTAGTTGGTAAATGAGAAATAACTTTAGACCAGACCTGCCACATACAGCCATTTGGTTGACTCTGATCGGCCCGTTTAGATAATTTGGAATTGCAAAATAAACACATCATTTTACCTCATGTTTGCACTAAAGATGCATTACTTTTATTTTAGAGGTGTTTTTAATGAATTTTTTTTAGGCAACCTCACTTTGTCATAACATAACCAACTTGTCGAAACAATGCTATTTACTGCTTTTTTAATAAAGAAATTCAATTAATATTATTCAGAATTTAGTTAAACATTTTGGTCCGGCCCTCCACATTTTATATTTCTCATGTGGCCCCATGGAAAAAATAATTCCCCGCCCCTGCTTTAGACCACTGTAAATTGTTTCAAAGGAACTAATTGTGTTTTTCACATTATAAGACATAAAAATACCTATAACACCTTAAGGTATTTGTACGGTATTGCGCCATAGGAAAATTTCTTCACAGTGTTTGGTGCATCCCTCAGTGTCATCGTCAGGAGCGGTGAAAATTCAACCACAATTTAGCGTGCACACATTTGAGGCAACTGGAACAAGCAGGTTGTATTATAGTTACATGCATCACACTCTGCAGAATGGTTTACTCTGCATTTGTTAGTTATGCCTTGGAATTCAGTCAAAGCTATACTAGACTTGCCTTGGATCCAGAATACACATTCCTGCAATACTTAAAGAAGATCTGAGTCTGTGAATCTCCTTGAGCACGGATGGGCGTGAATGACAGGTGGTTTAGCCAATCAGGGACAAGCATGGTCATATCAAATCCATATCCATATCAATCCATCAAAACAAATATGGCTGCACTAAACTTTGTTCATTCTCTGCATAAAAAGTACGAGAGATATCATTCTGGACTTCACAGTGGCAGCACGCTGAGGCAAAATCCTGCACGGGTCAATTTTTTGGAGACCCGCGCCCGCCCGCACCCGTGCAGTACAGTACTACCCCCCCCCCAAACCTGTTAATATTCTACCCGTTACCCGTCCGTGCTCGTGATAAATCACACACATATTAAAGAGAAGAAGAAACATTGATCAAGATGCCGAACTATTGCACCACACACCACGGACTGAACTAGCACTGAACTAGGACTAAAACAGGTCTAAAACAGGACTAAACCAGAACTGAACCAGAACTGAACCAGGACTTACTGTCAGGTCGGGCTCGGATGCACCCGCATAGACCATTGGGTGACCGGGAAAGGACTGGTGCAGAGCTCCGTCACACAGTCCTGTTTTGCGGACACCCTGCTTCGCTGGGGTTCTCTCCCTCTTAAGTCCAAGATTAGTCCTAGTTTAGACCTGGTTTATTCCTGGTGTAGTCCTGGTTTAGGCCTGGTTTAGTCTTGACCGGACTGTGTGTAATCACTACCTGCCCACATATCCACCCATAAAATTCTATAACATTAAAACCCGCCCGTTTCAGCAACTATTTGCCCGTACCCGTTGGGAATCCATGTGTACCCAACCCCGTGCAGAGCTCTGTGCTGAGGGTGTTCTACATGTATCTCTATTGGTTGAATGTTCATCAGTTACCATGATGCACACATTAGCAAATACTGTCAAAAAAGTTTTAAGATTGTCTGAAAATGGATTTAAATTTTCAGGAACCTGCGATCAATTTGAGCATTCATGACCATGTTTAGGAGTTTGATTTTCTACAGAAAGGTGGCAAATGCTGGCTCGCTTGTAACTGTAATTTTATTTGTAAGAGACTTGTTTAACAGCGCAAATCATCTCACGTGTTGTAGTTCCTGCTAAGTCATCTCTTCCTGCTCAGATTGTGTTAAAACGAAGCTCAGAATAAAGTCTAACTCGAGAAACTGATCTACATGACATTAAAAAACACAGCAAATGAACACGTGCTGTAAAATGAGAGACTAAAGGCAGGCTGCTGTAATGAGAGGATAGACAGGATGGGCTGGCAGTGGGAGGAGAGAGGGCTGTGCAGTAAAGAGGTGGAGGGAAAGGCCAGACCTCCTCCTCATCAGCAGCACGTCCCCGGGGAGACTGTGGAGCCTTGATTATGCATTCAGCTTTCCCACAAAAAGCAGCCAGCACTCACAAAATACAGCTCTGTCAGCCTACTTCAGCACAGCCTGACCTTCAGTGTGTGAGCCTCCGCCGCCACGTAATTTAGCAACTCTGAGATACTCGAGTAAATAAGCCTTTGTCATAGTTTGGGGAATGTTTGGTAGCCAGGTCAACCATTGGATTCTTTGGGTTTTACTTGCTTGCTGTTTGCGATATATGTAAATAGTTGGTTGATAACATTATGTGGCCTTGTTTAAAAGTGCAGCAAAATCTGAATGCAGGTGCCACTTTGGTTCAAGAAATCTAAAAAGAAATTGAAAAGAAAACTCTGATGTTGAATGTGCTGAAACTCTCAAGCAACTTTCAGGTTTTTAATGCAAATTGCATTGTGAAATTTGGTAGAAATTGGATTATGTGAGTGTTTTCTTTTTGTTTTGTTCTTTCAGTACTTGCATTTTTAAAAAGGGCACATATTACACTATTTTCTGATCTATGTTATGTTTTCTCATTAAAAACATACCTGGAGTTGTGTTTTGTTTCATTCACTCATGTTCAGCACACAAATCCTGTATATTTAGATCAAGTTCTTCTCTCAAAAAAAAAACACTCAGTGTGATTACCTAGCTCTGCTGAGCAAAGGTAAAAGGTAGCTGTTAACTTGAAAAACTACCTCTTCATGACATCACAAGTTGGAACAGAGTATTTTGAGCTTTGGAGATGTAGAGAGACTAAAAATGCATGATTTGTGAATGAAACAAAACACAAGTTCAATTATCTTTTTGATAAGGTAACAATGTTCTAAAATGGCTAAAATCAATGGGCCTCATTCATTATTTATTTTATTTTTTTTTAAATGTCCATAACTTCCTCTACTTTACCCTTTTTTTTAAGATCCTGAGAGAACTCTGCCCTGGGAAATGTTTAAGTCATACACTTATTGAAGTAAGCAGGTGCTTTCGTCGTATTAATCACACTTTCCGGGATTGCAGACCAGCAGTAAATAGCAAGGGGGCTGGGGTAGGGGTGCATAAGAGTGATGGGGACAGTGTGAGCGACGGGGGTGTTGAGTCCAGCGCAGTGACCAGGTGCAGGGCTGTAACAGAGGCTCATATGGAGAGCATTGGGGCTGAGACAAACTGAGGCTCACTGCAGCCTGTATAAAGACATGCCCTATGAAACACATCATAAATGTTATTGAATCACATAGTAATAAAGTTTATAGGAATTAATTTAACAAAATATATAACTTACAATCATGGAGGAATTTAATTTAATTTTATTTTTTTTGTTGCATTATCAGAGTAATAATATTCTAAAACAGTAGAATATTTGTTCTTACGAGTGCTCCTGGCTGTTTTTAGGATTTGTTCTTCCAGAAGAACATTTCAGTTAAGAAAAAGTTTTGTGAATGCCAAAAATGTTGGTAAGAAGGCCTAAAGTAAAAATTTGTTTCTAAGAATGTTTCATGAATGAGGCCCAATGTTGTGTATTGATCAGACCTTTCATTGTTGTAAAGAGATGTTTTACCAGAATAACTAAATTGTCATAAACCCATTTGTATCATTGAGCACAATATTTCTTCTACTATCCTGTCCTTCCACATGCAGAGGCTTACTTCACTATGTACTTATTTCTTTCCTTATTGCTCAATATGATGATTAATCAATATGCACAGCAACTTTGAGCATTGCATTTGTTTTATTGATAATGCAATGCTCAAAGCAGAAAAGAAGCAATGCAAACATCACTACACACTGTTATTGTAAAATTTGAATTTAAGAACTCTTCTCATGCCAAAGCAAAGAGAAAAAAATTATACTAGTTACAATACTTAAATTTAAAACTCAATAGACATGAATAGGAATAGACTTGCTACTCGATACCAATTCCAGTATCACCATATCTGTGTAATCCCTCAGTCGTCCAGGTAGGGACATGAGCATATACTAGTCTATGTGGTTTTATACTTGTTCTGATACAGCTCAAGATCATTCTAAAGCTATTTAGGAAAGATTTATTTCTGTCCTTTGAATGTGAATATTGATACATGATCAAATGAGTATCTAGTTTCGAGTTTTGATTGACTTTTGACAACCCCATACTCGACCAAGTCTGTCAGCTGTTAAGAGTGAACATTGATTTGATGTTTTCTCCTGAGCCCTTGCAGTTACTGGGCAGAGGCCATCAAACAGACAGGAAAATCAGAGAGTAAATGAATGCACTGGCTTAGAAATGTTGGCAAAAACAGGTTTCCACTCCTCATGTTAAATTATGTTTTCAAATATAATGAGGTAACAGCACTTCATACAAGTAAAGAACTGCAACAACAATTATCTTCCACCTATAGTGTAGATTCTGATACAGTGTTGTTATTGTCATTAAAACACAACACAATTTATTTGAGTACATCAAATACTGCGTGGTAATGATGTAAGTGCAATAAAAGTTAAAGGTGCATTGTGTAACTTCTCTGGTGCAGGGTCTGTCAAATTCTTTCCTTTTGAAGGAGACAAACCAGAACATGTTTCAGGTCAGATCTGTGGAGAGGCAACTACACACAGTCAGAATGCCTGTTTTTCTATGGATTTTTGAGCTATAAAACCACCTGTAATTGAGTAAATGTAAGGTAGATTAATGTCATACTGTGGAACATTTCAGGCAGAGCAATGACATATCCATAGAAACAATCAGGTGACGGACCCCCATCCAAAAAGTTACACAGTGCACCTTTAAATACTAAATACTGTCCTGTGCTAGTTCTTGGTATGTCTTGTATCACTTTGTACAGACTAACTTTGTGGCCACTAACAGACAATCACCTCACCACAGACTTGTACCGCAGTGAGGAGAGCATCAATGTGACGCAGCTCGCCGGAGTCATCTTCAGCCCACGCTATCCCGAAGCCTACCCTCGCAACCTGCTGTTGTCATGGAAACTGATGTCTCCGCCGGGGAGCCGCATCCACCTGGTGTTTGACAAAAACTTCGGTTTAGAGGGGCCAGTCAAAGAAGTTTGCAGGTAACAGACAAAGGATTCAGATGAAAAAAAAAAAAAAAAAAAAAGAGAAATAAACCTGGACTGTAATAGGACCAAATCAGTTCTTCTTTAAAGGGGCACTATGGAACTTTTCTGGTGAAGGGTCTGCCATTTTCTTGTCTCCATGTAAATACTATTACATATGGTCATCTTTGCCATCTTGCAGTTATTCAGTTATTCAGTTCAGTTGTGTTTATATTGCTCGAAAAAAAAAAACGTTAAAAAAAAAAAAACAAAAAACATGATTTCTTACTTTGTGGGGGGTTGCCTCTACACAGATCTAACCTGTAACTTGCAGTAACAACTTCATGGAGACAAAGAAGTTTAATGTCATACTCTGGAACACAACTTCTGAACAATCGCTGTCATTTATTTTCTGTTTTTTTCTCAATTTTCCTCTATAGATCCTCCAATACACTGTGCTCAAATTGAGTTGGCAGGAGTAACTTATACTATATTACTATATACTATATAATTTATACTTATACTAAAACCAGTATCAAAAATAGATTTCAAAAGTAGCGATACTGACAAAATCCAATGAACAAGCCAACAGCTTTATCAACACCAGGATATGAATACATGATAACGCAGAGAACAGAATGTAATTTTTAGCACAAAATAATACTGCTTTCTTTTTTTTAACTATTTAGGTAGCGAAATCAAGCCTTTTCCTTAGTATCAAAATCGAGTTTGAAGCTGTAGTATCATGGCAGCATTACTGTGCAGTAGTCTTGTAGTAGTGTGTATTCCTCAGCCCATTAGAACACACCACAGTTATACAGCAGCTGAACCAGGTGCATAAAGATAGAGGGGAAGACTCACTTTTACAAAGACGGATGCTCAGAGTTTGCTTTCTTGGCGAGAATCAGAAGAAGTTTGTCCTTGAGGGTTGAGGGGGAGAAAATAGACGTTTTAATCCCTGTATGCAGCCGTGGCGTCTTTGTAAGCACTTTGTAGAAAGCAGGAGCAGCAGGAGGTAGAGGTGTGAGTGGGAGAGAGATCTACCGCTCTGGACACTGCTTCAAATGCTGCTCATTAGTTTGGTGTATCGCAAGTGTATGATACTTGGACTTCAATTAAGACGAGGCAGACTAGGGTTTTCAATATTTATAGAATTGGATGTACTCCTTGGGCATGTCAATATCTGTCTTACATTTTCATGACTGTTACATAAAAGTTTGGACTAGGGAGCTTTCAAACTTGTCCTAGTTTAGTCCTCGGCAGCTAAAGGCTAACAAAAAAAACATTTACTATTAAAGGGCCCATATATGCTATTTTCTAATCTCTGTTATAATGTTGTTTCCTCATCACAAACATACCTGGAGTTGTTGTTATTAGGTTTGTTTTTCAGACCAAGAGTTTGTTTTCATACCTGACAGTTTCGACTGCTCACTCGTCGTCTTCCTCAGAATGATCACGTGATGTTGCTGTGATGTGTTGGGTCAGCTGATTTATACAGGCTTTGGCGCTGCCTTCCAACTCTCACACACCTGGGATACTGTCCTGAAGAAGTCGGTCTGTGGATTGTGTGGTCGTCCTGCCTCCATCAGTAGGAAGACAGCACTAAAACCTGTTTAAATCAGCTGACCGGATACATCACAGCAACATCACGTGACCACTCTGAGGAAGATCGCTAGTGAGCAGCTGAAACCGTCAGGTGTAAAAACAAACGCTTGGTCTCAAAAAAGAACCTAATTTCATAAATTATCGAAAGATATAATGTAGTGTAAAGTAAAATATACAAATGATTAATGTATGCCTATCATACATATTTTATTTGGCATAAATAAAAACACTTTAAGCAGCCTAAACTTGTGGTCTGATGTCGTGCACATTTTAGACAATTCCTTTCCACTTCTCCATGTTTGATGGAGTTTAAGAGACGAACGTCTCTATCTTGTGGGAGCATCAAAATATCGCAGATGCGGGCAGAACATTCTGTTCCACGCAAACCTCTGCCTCATTGCTTCATTCACTATTTAACACACAAACCCTGCATATTTAGAGTACATTCTTTTCTCAAACAAAAAACACTCTGTTCCATCTTGTGATGTCATGTGGTAATACAGGAAGTGCGCCACTATGTTTTTAAACTCTATCCTTCGTGACATCGCAAGGTGGAACAGAGCATTTTGAGCTTTGGAGATGTAGACAGACTAATAAGAAAGGATAACTCAAACATGTGTGAATGAAACAAAACACGACTCCAGGTATGTTTTTGAGGTATAAAAAGCTTAAACCTCAGAAGAGTCAATTCTGTGTAATATAGGACATTTAACAGTGTTAAATGCGTTATCTTTATTGGTAACATTTTAATTAAAGCTGGGACGAAATACCAAATGTTCACCCAAACAAGCTGTTAAAGTGGACAGTGCCCAAAGGACTAAAGGGAAGAATGAGGAGGGCCGAGGTCTGGACGTAACTGTGTGATTGGTTTCACAATTAAAACAGTTCAAACTCTGCTTCCTCAGACTGGTATATCTAATTGTTTCTAATCAGAGCAGAGGTGGGTGGCCTCTTGAAACATGGAGAACATGGAGGAAGTTGGCAGCCCACAATCTGAAGTAGGACTAAACACCTTAACTCCACCCACAACCACAGTTCAGATAGAGACGTTAAACTGGGCTGAACAAAACAGTGTGAGTCAGTCTAACAAGTATCCACACTTCAAAACCAAAGTTTATGTCATGTCACCAGCTGCTTGAAATCACAGTGGCCCCCTAATGCTGCACACTTTGATTTAGAAAGCTGCAAAAAGTACATAATCTGTGCTGAAACTGCCAAAAAAAAAAAAAAAAAGGCTAAGAACAGTAGACAATGCTATTAAAACACCATATACACAGTTGAGTCGTGAAAAAATGCAATGTTTAGCTCCACTTTTAGACTCCGATCTGCTAATTACTTACACCAAAATAGACTAAGAAACTGACTACAGAACAGCGAATGCTCTTAAAACAAATTGTACACAGTTTACATAATTGTCAAAGTTTAGTCCCACTTTACAACTGCATTTGAATCCTGAAAATGTTTGCTTATAAATCCTTGTAAAACACATGCTCTAATACCACACAGCAGGCTTTTAAATTCTGTCTACTGCCTGTTTACAGTTTGGTACTTCTCTGTGGCACTGTCAACACTAACTGAAGCCATTGTGTTTTAATGATCTGCAAAATGTGTAAACAGCGGACCAGCCTTGGGTACATTTAGCGTCCAATTAAACAAAACGGCGTCTTAAGAGTGGCCAAAGGTGTGAGTATATGTGAGAAAATATCATTAGCCAGAAATGATATGATGTTTTCTGTTTGGACTGCCGCAAAAAAGTGAAGAAGTTTGAAAAGCTGTGAAAACGAAGCAGATCTCTCAGTCATTATCTATAGGGAGAAACAAAGCAAGAAAAATATTAGAATAAAGTTTGATTATGAAAGTTGCGTTAAATGGGGATGTCAACTATTTAAAGGGTCCATATTATGCTATTTTCTGATCTATGTTATAATATTGTTACCTCCTCAAAAGCACCTGAGATGTGTTTTGTTTTCAGTCACACAAGTGTAACACACAAACCCTGCATATTTAGGCTGAGTTCTTCTCTCAGAAAAGAAAACCTGTGATGTGACGTGGTAATACAGAATAGGGGGGTGCAAAAATATCTAAATAGTCGTAAATATGACTCTGTAACTTCAAAGATATACTGCATATACTGGTGTTCTGTGGACCAGTAGTGCCAGTACAAGTGTTTATTTTGTTACATATGCTTTTTTTTTACCTTGGCTACTATGTATTTATGGAGAGTAGTCTTGTGCAGTAGTACTGTCACAAGTCATATACTAAATCAATAGTAAAACCAGTATCCAAAATAGATTTTAAAAGTAGCGACACTGAAAAAATCCAATGAACAAGCCAAAATTTGAGCTTCATCAAAACCAGAATAGACCCACACTTTATAATGTAATTTTTAGCACAAAATAATACTGCTTTCTTTAAGTGTTTCCTTTTTTCTTTTTTTCCACTATTTAGGTATCGAAATTGGTCATTGATCAAGCTTTTTCTTTAGTATTGAAATCGAGTTAAAATAAAATAATATAAAAAATGCTGTACTGACATATCACCAAAAGTGGTGTTTACTAAATTATTTTGTTACAGAGGTACAATTTTGTTGCCTTTTTAAAGGAAGGAAACTTTTGGCATAGTCACTGTTTTGATGATTAAAATGGGAGTGTTTCGTAATCACTTTGCACAAGAAGTGGTTTAGGAAAGACTTTTAGTATTGCAGCCATGACTTAGCCTTTATTTTTATTGACCCGGATTGAATAGATTTGAAATATATAGTACTGAACCATATTGTATTGAAAGCTCACTGTATCTAGATACGCGTCGTATCGTGGCCTGTGTATCAAGATATGTATCATATCTGCAACTTCTTAATGATACCCAGCCCTAATACAGAAAGCGCTCCACTGTGCTTTTAAACTCTATACACCTTCACTTGTGTAACTTCAGCCCTGGATCTGCCAAGTCTCTGCTGAACTAAAGGTAAAAGAAGCTGTTAACTTGAAAACTAACACTACATGACATCACAAGGTGGAAGAGAGCATTTTGAGTCTTGGAGATGTAGACAGACTAATAATGCAAGAGATACATAATAATATTGCCCACCTCGTTATTCACTTTCATACACTCTTTAAGGTCTAACACGATCTTTTTGTACACAATTGCAGCCATGCCTCTGCAGTCTGCCCCACGGCAACTATGGCTATTTTAGTGTAAATCATATCTTATAACAAACCCATATCTTTTACCCTTGCATGTGATTACAGTAATGACTACGTGGAGGTAGAGGACGTGACCAAGGCGGCCTCCATCATCTGGGGGCGCTGGTGTGGACAAAGAGCTCCCTCCAGTCTCAACTCCAAGAGCAACATCCTGAGAGTCACCTTCAAGTCCAATGACTACTTTGTGGCTAAACCTGGCTTCAGAATCAACTACTCCATACTGGTAAGACCCCTCTATACATACACATATACATAATACACTACTCCCTACTATTAAGACTCTCTTCACTGTAGCCCACCCATGGTTTAGGAAATTCTTATTCTTTACTCTACAAAAGTTTTGACACATTTTTTTCATTTCAAGGTGCACAGTGTAACTTTTTGGTTAGGGGTCCATCACCTGCTTGTTTCTATAGAAATGTCAGTGTTCTTCCTGGAATGTTCCACAGTATGACATTAAACAGCTCTGCATTATATGTATTGAATTACAAGTGGTTTTATAGCTCAAAAATACCTAGAAAACAGGCATTCTGACTGGGAGCAGGGTTGTCTCTCCACAGATCTGACCTGTAACTTGGCCTGATTCGGTTCCATAAAGCTAGAAAGGTTTAATGCCATACTGTGAAACTTTCAAGACAAAGCAATAGCATCTCAACGGAGAAACGCATCTGACGGACCTTCCACGTGATGCACCTTTAATGTTTTTTCAAATTTGCAATTTCTGGTTGTTTTTTTTAATCAAAGGATTCACATTGTAAACACATCTTGAAGAATTGACACAAAGGCTGAAACATGAATACAAGAATCACATTTCAGAACATGTTTGTACAGATCTAAACTACAGGATTAGCAGTTTTTATGCAGAGTAAAGCAGAATATGTTTGTGAAAGAAAAGCTGGTACTTGGTAAAACTATAAATGAACCCATAAGAAATGTAGTTACCATAATATATTTTATATTTTAGATTCTTCCAAATGGCCACCCTTTGCTTTAATCGCTGCTTTGCACATGCACTAATGAACCCTGACAAGGCATACAAGTGTGAAGTGAAAACCATTTCAAGTGACTGAATCATGAACCTCACTTACAAAAGGTGGATACTTTGAAGACCCCAAATTCAAAATCTAAAAGTATTAGACTTATTAAAAATCCTCTATTACACAAAATTGCCTCTTGTGAGCTTTAAGCCACCTCTGTTATTAGTCTGTCTACATCTCCAAAGCTCAAAATGCTCTGTTCCACCTTGTGATTGAATGAAGATATAGTTTTCAGCTTCAGTTTAACAGCTCCTTTTTCCTCTAGTTAATATTGGCAAATCCAGGGCTGAAATTGACACTGTATCACAAGTTGGAACAGAGTGTTTTCTGTTTGAGAGAAGAACCTAAATATGCAGGGTTTGTGTGCTAAACATGTGTGAATAAAACAAAACACAACTCCAGGTTTTTTGTGATGAGGAAACATTATAACAGATCAGAAAATCAGAAAATAGTGTAATATGGGCCCTTTAAACTTTTTTTTGCTACCCAATTCCATACATCTTGCTTCATATACAGGATTTGATGACTGATAATGTATTTTAATAAGTTGCAGGAGAATACCCAAAGGTAGAAGACTTAGCATAACAAAGAGAAAGCGGTAGATAACAGAATAAGGAAAAGGTTGAATCTAGCAACACTGTCAGGAGATGCCAAAATGTATTAAGCCATGGTGTTGTTCTCACATGTCCATTTGACAGTAGAGGAGACGAGGAAGGAGGAGACAAAGAAGGAGGCGATGAGGAAGGAGGAGAGAGGAGGGAGGAAGCATGCAAGTCCTCTTCTAAAGCTGTCAGAGGAACAGATATGAAGATTAGCTTTGTCATTCTGTCTGAAAGTACACAAAAGAAAGACAGACTCTGATTTTAAGATGTTTCCTCTATCCCATAATATAAAAGGAGATAAATAAAACAAAATGAGTAGCCACTAGTATTTGGATCATTGTGCAACAGCTGGGTCCCTTGACAACTGATATTTTGCAGTGACATCACAATGGGGGTGTTGTACATGTATTTATAGGTGGAAAATTAATCAGTTACTATGGAGACATAAGCCATACACTGTTAAAGGTTTTAAGAAAAAACTACTAAATGGGTTTAAAAGCACACTGTCAAGAGCCTGTGATTTATGAAGAGCGTTGATGGTCGTCATAGGTGTTTGATTTTCAATAACAAATGTGAGAGTGACTAACTGAAAAACTGTAGGCTCACTTGTGAGTCTGTCTGGGAGAGAGTATGAATCATCTCACCTGTTGTAGTTCCAAGTAAACCAACTTTTTTTTGGTCAAAATGTGATAAAATAAAGCTCAAAATTAAAGTCTACTAAACCCCAGATAGAGCAGTGCTTACAGTTAGCATCACACCCCCAGAGAATGATAACATCAGCTGTGAAGTATCAGTAGGTTTCTGATGGAGATGGTAGCTATATCTGTATTTTGTATGGCTTGATTTCGCTTCTTTTTTTTTTTTTTCTTCACCTGCTTGGACAGTATTAACCTGATTCATCAGCCAGTTTCACTTCATGGAAACCGTCTGATCTCACAGCATTAAATTTGTTCACTTGACGGTACACGTGTAGGTTTTTTATTTAACCAATCGCTGTTATTTGATCGTGACGTATGTAATGTACCAAATCCCGTAGGAAGAAGGGCAATAACGTTGTTCCCCTTGATAAAAACATTGTCTTTAAAGCTTTATATCCTCGATCTCTGGAATCGTTGCCAACACAGAATGTATGTCTTCGTCTACATCCATCTTGACCGTTTTGTTTACTGTTATTGTACCACAAAAGGGACCCAGACCGGCGCTTGAGTTTGACGTCATGGCTTCACAGCTCTTTGCTGATTGGCCGGTGTGCGGTCTACAACTTCCGGAGTTCTTGCAAACCATCTAGTGTATTCCGATTCCTGACCTAGTCGCTGGAGAGAAATTAATCTTAGAATGTGACACATTAGTAGTGGTTTTATTGCTTAAAAAGCCCATGTTACATGATTTTCTGATCTGTTATAATGCTGTGTCATCATTGAAAATATACCTGGAGTTGTGATTTATTTCATTCACACATGTTTGACACACAAACCCTGCATATTTAGGCTCAAGTAGAAAATACTTGTGATAATACTCCACTGTGTTTCTAAACTCTGTACAACAGACCTGGGCATTGTACAGCTCCATGGCCACATATGGCCCTTTGATTGACACTGACCAGTCCAGTTTCAGCTAATTTGGAATTACAAAATAAACATATTTTAACATTTTACCTCATGCATGGACTAAAGCTACATTGCTTTTATTTTAGAAGTGTTTTTGTAAGGCAGCCTCACTTTTTTATTGCTTAGTCATAACAAACTCTTACCCATCTCACCAGCTTGTCAAAACAATGGTATTTATTGCTTTTTAAATACAATTAATATTATGCAGAACTGAGGTAAGCATTTTGACCCAGCCCTCCACAGTATTTTCTGTTTCTCATGTGGCCCATGGAAATAATAATTGCCCACCTCTGCCGTACACCTTCACTATAATAGTTTGGACAATATCAGCCCCAGAATTGCCAATCTCTACTGAACAAAAGGTGATAGGGAGCTAACTTAAAAACTACCACTCCATGAGATCATAAGGTTGAAAAGAGCATTTGAGCTTTGGAGATATAGACAGACTAATAACTCCAGGCATGTTTTTGAAGCTCACAAGAGTCAATTTTGCGTAATACAGGACCTTTAAAGTCTAAATGCAGCCCTAACACTCTCTTGTATTGGTGACAAGAAAAAACAACAGCGTAATATAGGGCGGGATAGAGAGCCAGACAGACAGACTATTCCAATCTATTTCCATTCATGTGATTCATACTGGAGCTGTTTTCAATACATGCTTGGATCCAGTCAGGAGCCAGTCACTGAATAAGAATTTGATTATGCCATTGCTTTAAAATGTCAACCTTCATTTATGTGAAAAGGGTAAGATCAGAGCACGTATAGGAAACATATGGGAGAACGTTATGATGGCATCTGCTGTAGAGCTTGTCAGGACTCACTGCTTCACTCACTTAAAAAGAACTGTTGCTTATAGAGCCTGGGAAACCAAACAAAGGGTATATTTCAGATCAAAACTGTATTGACACTGGAGTTTTGATAGTTTTAGACGTAGAGACAGTATGAGTGGAGAAGAATGTGAAAATATGAGAGGGAATATACTATACTTCAGAACAAACCTCTGTCAAAACATTGTTTACACACAAAAAAATGTAATGGTGCTCAAACTAGAAGGCCTTAATGAAGTGGTGATTCATCAAGGTAAAAAAAAAACACAATGACAATGACAATTACAATGACAATGAGTGCTTGTAGCTAGTGTTTTTAGCATGTTCCTCTCCTTGTATTACTGGTTGTGATTACATGCACTCTCAAAATCTGATTATTAACCGATTTTAGAGTTACAAGACTTTTAAAAAGTAAACAACAGCAAAATTATCTCATCAATCACAACAGTTTTATCGGTTTGCATGCCATTTCAATCATCTTAAAGGTCCAGAAATCAGATAATAAGCAGATTTTGGTTTGCTGAACATAGTCTCATGGAGAATTGATGAATATAGCACTTTTAGAACAGTAAAAGCATAGTGATATAAATATGTCATGTGTTAGCAGGTAATACCCCATAGAGGTTATACTTCCTTCTTTAATAAAGCGAGAAGAAATAAGTCCATAGTTTTTTATGAATGTTTCAAACTTCAGACTTCAGACTTTTAATAGGAGTTAGGGTCATGGGATTAATTCTTAGTAGTCTTATTAAAAAAGGGGGTATTACACTAGGGCTGCTCGATTATGGAAGAAATCATTATCACAATGATTTTGGTCAGTAATGAAATCATGATTATTCAAACGATTATTTTTTAGTTACACGATGCATTTATTCAGCATTTATCTCTCAAAAAAACCCACTTTATTATTGATCATTTATGCAAAACTTTCACTTAAACTTGAAAACAAATATAGGCTACAAATACAGTAAGTACCTTTGAGCAGTTTTGCAATGTATGAAACAGAAATTGATAAAATATACTTGACATAAGGCATAGAAAAACATAAATGTATCCAAAATAAACTATATATCCAGCTGTTATACAATCTCTACATTTAAAAAAATAAGATAAATATACTTTAAAATATCCCAAAATAAGTTAAGTTAAG